ACGAGGTGGTGGACGCCGAGGTGAGGAGGGGCGGCTCGTGACCCCCGCGGGAAAGGCCAGTGGGCCAGAGTGCTCTGGGGAGGGGACACACCCCACTGGGCTTGGAGTGCGGAGGGGGCGCGGGGCGGGGGAGGCGCAGAGACGGGCAGTGGGGCATCTGGCTCGTCAGGACGGAGGTCACCGGCCTAGGGTCTAGCGGGGAGAAGGACCCATAGGAGAGGGAGTCAGTGGGAGTTAGGGATGCCAGGCATGGCTGCGCGGTGGGGTGGGGAGGGGTCTCCCAGGTTTCGAACTGAGCGCGATGGGGCGGAGGGTCCAACGCGGGCATCCGAGATGGGGGAAACACAGACACACTGCCCTGGAGTATGTGATGGAGGGGACGTGTGGATCGGGGGGTCAGAAATGGAGTACTAGACGAGGCAGGGGTCAGAGATTTCGTGGCCAGGGTTTCATTGAAGGAGTGTGGGAGGTACCAGGTTCAGAGTCAGAGAAAAAGTGGGATGGGCCAGCCAGAGTAGTGGCCTTTGCTAGGGTCACAGGAGGACTTGCGGTTAGGAATGGGGTTTGGATTTTAGCCCGGGACCAGAAAGAGAGGAGATTGGGTAGGGTCTAAAATGAAGAGGGATGGGGCAGAGGCCAGGAATGACAAGAATTGATATAAGGTGGGGGAGGGGGCTCAGCTGCAATAAAGTCTGCGGGGAGGCGGGAGAACTATCGTTAATAAGGTCAGGTATTAAAACCATGGGGATTAGACTGAGAGAGGTTAGAGACCAGGGCAGGAGTCAGAACTCAGGAGGGGCTAGGCAGTGATGAGACTGGAATTAGAAGAAGCTTGAACGGAGTCTGGGTAAGCAGAGTACTGGTCATCAGTTAAGTCAGAAATGAGGGAAAACTAGACGGGGGAAAGGGACTGTAGCAACACTGAGGGTGCTGTGCAGAGGGACCGGGACACGGTGGGAGATAATGGGAGAGGAGGAGTCCGTTGAGGAGAAAGGGCCATCTAGACGAATGGCTTTGATCAGACATCTCAAGTCTGAGTGGAGACGATTCGTCCTGTTTGGGTTGTGAGCAAAGAATGTCGGGGAGAAAACAGACTTGATCTCTGATTTTTAAAAGAGGATCGACCAGAAACAACAGTGCTGGTGAATCATTACTTTGCAGAAAAATGGCAGCTCATGGCCAGAATTTTTGTCCAATTAGCTGGATAGTGCATTTCAAGGGTCCGGTAGGGCAGGCTGGCCTGCTTTCAGACTAGTGGTTTGGGTCTTTAAGTAGATAAGCGAATTTGGATAATTCTTAATGAAGCTAAGCCTCCTGAAATAATTTTTTTCTTAAATAATGTTACATCCTTTTAATTATGTGCTTTTGCAGCAGTTGCTTGGGCTGAAGTGGCTTGGGAAAGGTGACACTTCAAAAAACCAGGTTTCTTCACAAGAACTCTTGGGTTTCCAGACTTCCACACACTTGGTTGATTGCCCTCCGTTACCCAGTAACTCAACTATCTCATTGACTAGTGTATGGAAATAAAAGATGGTAACTATTCCTAATTTGGGGAAGAATTCCCATATAATTAAATAACTGTACTTTAAGTCCCTTTAAGAAATGAGCTTCTCTTTGCAAATCCCCATCACTCCTCTCCTTGTTCCTTCTAGTTTTGATCCAGTTTTGAAATCAAGAAAACCGTTGCTTTTTCTGAAGATGTTTGTATAGCTCTACAAAGTTCAATGTATCCTCATTTTGTGAGAAATTTTACTTTTTTTCTTTTGTCACACCTTTAAATTTTCAGTAATTGAAAAATCAAATTAAATTCTACTGCTTGGTGATCCTTGAACATTAGCTGTACTGCCTGTACGTTTAAGTACTAAGAATTGGGACTGACTTCTTTTCGTGTGAATGACGGACTGAGGAGTTTGCTTTCATGTAAAATCCAGAGAACCTATGACTTTCTGAAGAATCATGTCAAGTTTTCATTTCCTCTTGACCTGTGGATTTGGCTGCATCATTTAATTTTGAGAGTTCACGAGGGGCTGGTGACTGAGGCTGCTTTACCCAAAAGAGTATTGGCAGGAAAACAGGCAGACACTTTTCCTGGCACACAGGAGCCTGGTGAGAACATTTAACCCAGTATTTGCCTCTAGTTTTACAGATTTTCTTGCATGCTGCCTGTGTAGCTTCTGGGTAATTCTTGCTGTAGACAGTGGGAGCCTGAGGCATTTGGTCTTGGAAAATAGGGAAAAGTGCTAATCATTGTTGAGCATCCACAGTGTGTCAGGCACTGTGTTTTTATACATTTTATTTGATCCTCAGTGAGATAGTTAATAACATTACCATTTTAGAGCTATGCTTAGTTAGTGGCAAAGTCTGAATTTGAACTCAGTCTCTGACTTCAAAGACAGTGTGCTTTTTACTCTGCTCAACTCATGGTTTTAGGGTTGAATTCATTTTAAGATAAAAAGGAAAAAATAGATGGGTAGAGAAACATTTTGAGGCTCCTGTACAAGTCTAGGAATGATGTGGCTGGCAAGCACTGAATCAAGGCATTAGGAACAGGGTAATGAGAAGAATGAAAGGAGAATCGTAGATTTTTATAGCAGAAGACTTTAGAAATTAAGAATTAGTTTAGCTCCCTTGTTTTACAAATGCCTTGCAGGCCCCAAAGGGGAAGTGACGTGTCCCCAACAAGCCAGTTAATGGAAGAGAAGGGACTAGAGCTCATACCCACTCACTGCCAAGTCCATTGCACTTTCTCCCTACCAGCTGCCTTCCTTTCAAATGAGAAAGGGACAGGGCATGGTAATGAGTTACAGGGGATGAAGAAAAGGGAAGTGTGACAAACTGGGTGAAGATTGGCAACTCTTGTGTAATCCACTCATTTTATTTCTAAAAAATGAGTACTTTGTTCGAAATTACAAATTTCTGTTTGCTCCATAGGAAATTTCAATTTCCGTGTCCTCTTAAAACATTTGGGAATATACAGATTAAAATCTAATTGTTAAAAAAAAAGAAAGTAAAATGATTACATTTATTTTATGTTTGTCACTTGGGGACAGGAATGATCCTCTTATTTGGTAAACATTTAATGCCTTCCATGTCCCAGAGCTGGGAATAGAGTGGTGGACAGAACAGGGAGGTTACATTCTGGTGGATCTTAGTGCAAGCCTCTCATTTACAAGAAGTGACTTCCCAAGGTCACATAGTGAGATGAATCAGTTTAGTAATTTGGACCCATGCTATAATTAGGATCTGGTTTAAAAATTAAAATTTGGAAAGTAAAAGCAGTTAACTTCTGGTTCAGTAGAAACAAGGAGAAGGCAGATTAAAAAGACCCAGATATCTAGCAGAACACATAAACTGCAGAAAGCCACAGAAGTAAAGGTATTGCTTTGCAGAAAGTTGTGTTTGGTTGTTACTAGTATTGTTGGATGTAGTTGTATATGTGACTCTTGGTCTCTGGCTCTGGACGGGACTTTGAAAAATTGTCCAGTTTTGATTTTGAATAGCATTACTTCAAAACTTTTCCTCGGCAGGTATGAGTCTGTTCTATTATTAAAGACAGTGAGATCTCACTGTTGCCCTAAATAACTTATCCAGATGTTTAACATACCCACTGTCAGAATTCTTCAGTGTTTCTTATATGGCTAATGTCAACCCTGCTGGCCACTACTAAGGACATGCTGCCTGGTTCCACCCTCCACAGAGCTGGGAGAGTTGGTCCTTTATGAATTGTGATCCTGTCCAAAGAGTTAGAATTTAGAACCAGGTACTGTTATAGGCACCTTATAAAATGTAACAGTTGTGAAATGTACCTTATTCAATAAGTCTCCTTGTTTTGTCTTTAGAAAAAACTAAAATGGAAAATTTTTTGCAGAGAGATTTTAATTTACCAACTAGGAATACCTTTCTTAGCCGTTTAGTTCTGTGATAATTAATATTCCTAAAAGTGACATTTAATACTGTGATCTCGCCAATACTGTGTGAACTCCTTGTTGTTCCTGTTTTATTGAGGACAGTATTTCTGAGAAGGGCTTTGTCCGAAGTGATTGCAAGATTTCATTGCTTTTTTTCTTGTTTTTAAGAGCCCCAAAGTTGGCCCTCCTATAATATGTATAAATCACACACACACGCAAAATCACATAATGTAGTTCCTTAACTCATTTCTGCTTCTTTTTTCCCCTTTGGTATTAAGTGGGTAGTTATACATGAATTAAAGTTATCATACATTATATATAAAATATGTTATATAATATATTAAGGTTTATATTAAAATTCATGTCCTTTTTTTTTCCTAAAATACACAATCCTAGCACATTTGAGTGTGAAGTGAATCTCAGATAAGTAAACTTTAGTTATTATTTGTGATTTGAATACATGTAGTTTGTGATTTACCATGATTTGATACATTTTTTTAAAATGGAATCTATTTTAAGATTTTAGAGTTTAACAATAGAATAATTCCAAAAATAAGTTGAAAGTAAATGAAATAAAAATAGGGAGTCTCAAAG